TTGTGTGTATGTCTGTTAGTGTGTGTCTGTGTGTGTCTGTTAGTGAGTGTGTGTGTGTCTGTTAGTGTGTGTCTGTTAGTGTGTGTCTGTAAGTGAGTGTGTTTGTCTGTTAGTGTGTGTGTGGAGGGACGTATTAGCCGTGAGGCAAAAAAAATATTTGCCAGGCGGCGGCAAAAAAAGTTGCCCCCAAATGCCCAGGGCAAATGTCTTGTTAGCCTTGCGGCTAACTGACAGTCCACAGAGTGATGCTGGGGAGCCGGAATATGATGTCATATTACGGATCCAGGTGATGGGCATCACTCTGCGACAAGGGAGGGAGCCGAGCAGAGCGCTCAGGGGAAAATGCTCCCTCGCCAGCACTGCCCAACCGACCAGTAGCCCAGCAGCCACTGAACCCCAGGGAGAGGGAGAACCCCCCACCCCCAGCATCCCCAAAGGTAAGGAGGCTGCGGGGGTTAATTAAAAAAAAAGTGAGTGTGTTAATGTGAGTGAGTTTGTGTATGTCTGTTAGTGTGTGTCTGTGTGTGTCTGTTAGTGAGTGAGTGTGTGTCTGTGTGTGTCTGTTAGTGAGTGTGTGTTTGTCTGTTAGTGAGTGTGTGTTTGTCTGTTAGTGAGTGAGTGTGTGTCTGTTAGTGAGTTTGTGCTTGTAACGGAGCTCCCTGTACTCCGACCGAGTACCCTCCGTTGACGGATGCTCCTAGCGCTTCCTGAGGACTCCAAGCGCTGCAGCAGACACCACAACCACCGCAGACTCCTCAACCGCCGTATCTTGACTGGAGTCTCGCCGTCTTCCTTCCACCCTGGATCAGCTTCTGTCCTCCAGGACTATGTGGGAAAGAACTCTTCCTTCCACCCTGTACGAACCTCCAGCATCCAGGACTGTGTGGTGAAGACCCCTCCTTCAAGGAGAGCGTGTCAGGAACAAGCTCTTAAAAGAGCTAAGTGACTCAAGCTCAGGGGAGCATGCAGAGCATAGCAATCCCCAGTGTGATTATAACAGCTCCCTCCAATAACGAGACAAGGCTACATTTAGAGGGATCAAGAAGAACTGTCAAAACCTTTATTCCCTTGGGACCAGCCAATAGGCAGGGGCGGACTGACCACTCGGGCATATCGGTCATGGACCGAGGGCCCGAGGCAGTCAGGGGCCCGGCCACACAGCCATGCTCCAGCTGGAGAGATCAGATCAGAGATCTCTCCAACTGGAACGGCAAATTAAATTTTTAATTGATAGGTTGTGGGGCCCCTGATGCAGCCCGGGGCCCCACAACCTACCGCTCTGCAAGTCACCCCCTGAGACCTGGCAGCTTCACCAGCTCTCTGCCAGGTCTCCTTCTCCCAGTCCCGCGGTGCTCTGAGTGATGGGAGAGGCGCCAGGAAGTGACATCACTTCCTGTTTACTCCTCTCACACAGAGCCGATCAGCCAGCAGGGGAGAGAAGAGGAGCAGCAGCCAGGGAGACCAGAGGAAGCAGAGAGACAGGTAGGCACCAATCACTCCCTCACTGTCACTAGTTACACCCCCCTCACTGTCACTAGTCACCCCCCCACTGTCCCCACCCTCACTGTCACTAATCACCCCCCTCACTGTCACTAGTTACCCCCACTGTCACTAGTCACCCCCCTCACTGTCACCAATAACCCCCACCAACTCCACCCTCACTGTCACTAATCACCCCCACTGTCCCCCTCACTGTCACTAATCACCCCCACTGCTGTCCCACCCCTCACTGTCACCAATCACCCCCTACTGTCCCACCCCTCACTGTCACTTCAATCACCCCCACTGTCCCCCTCACTGTCACTAGTCACCTCACTGTCACTAGTCACCTCCCCTCACTGTCACCAATCACCCCCCACTGTCCCCTACTGTCACTAGTCACTCTCCCTCACTGTCACTAATCACCCCCCCACTGTCACTAGTCACCCCCCCTCACTGTGTCACTAGTCACCCCCTTCACTGTGTCACTAGTCACTCACTGTCACTAGTCACCCCCTCACTCTAGTGAGAGTGAGGGAGGGGGTGACTAGTGACAGAGTGAGGGAGGGGGTGACTAGTGACAGAGTTAGGGAGGGAAGGGGTGACTAGGGAGAGAGTGAGGGAGGTGGTGACTAGTGACAGTCACCCCCTCCCTCACTCTGTCACTAGTCACTCCTCCCCTCCCTCACTCTGTCACTAGTCACTCCCTCCCTCCCTCTGTCACTGGTCACCCACTCCCTCCCTCACTCTGTCACCAGTCATTCTCATCACTTTCTCTCATTTCTAAGTTACTAAGTCACTTCCTTTTTCTCACTTCTGTTACTTGTCACTACTGTCATTATCACCTCACTCTAGCATGAGTTATATAAAAGACTAGTGACAGTGAGTGAAGCGTGACTAGTGACAGAGAGAGGGAGGGGTGACTATGACAGAGGGAGGGATGTAAAGTGACTCAGTGCATAGGGGTTGGGGTATTTGGGTGACAGAGTGAGTGAGGTGACTATGCATGAGGGGGATGGGGTGACTAGGGACAGAGGGGGTGATTAGTGACAGTGAGTGAGGGGGTGACTAGTGACAGAGTGAGGGAGCGGGTGACACAGTGACAGAGTTAGGGAGGGAGTGACTAGTGACAGAGAGAGGGATGGGGTGACTAGTGACAGTCACCCCCTCCCTCCCTCTGTCACTAGTCACTCCCTCCCTCTGTCACTAGTCATCCCCTCCCTCTGTCACCAGTCATCCCCTCCCTCTGTCACTAGTCACCTCTTCCCTCCCTCACTTTGCCACTAGTCATCTCTTCCCTCCCTCCCCCACTCTGCCACTAGTCACCCACTCCCTCACTCTGTCACCAGTCACCCCCACTCACTGTGTCTCCCCCTCACTCTGCCACCACTCAACCCCTCCTTCCCTCACTCTGCCACCAGGTACCCCCTCACTCTGCCACCTGTCACAACCTCCCACACTCCTCCACCTGTCACCTTCTCCCTCACACACTCTGTCACCTGTCACATATGCATTCACACAGACACTATATACAAAAAAGCACATGTAGTCATCCAGACATGCACAAGTGCATTCACACAGACTCAAATACAAACATTCATTGATACACAGGTCTTCACAATATACACATCCAAAGGGTATTATGAGTTATATTTAACATTTATTTAATGCACGTATATTTGGCCTTCAAAGGGCCTGGGATCTAATTTTGCCCGGGGGCCCCAAAGGCTCTCAGTCCGCCCCTGCCAATAGGGTCACCACAATAACATTGTTGTGAAAACTCAATAAAATCACAAACAGTCAAACCAAATCAAGCAACACACAGTGACTTATCACAACACAATGGCACATTTTTAAAGGGGTAGGGGGAGACAATATTTAACAGTAAATATCTCACCTGCCTGCAGAATTAGCAATCTACCTGAATATGCAAATGAACCAGTCTTGCAATTCAGGTAGTGCATATTGCTGTTGCTACCAACAAAGGGCACTAGACCAGCTCCATAGCCAAACCCACCTAGTTGGTAGCAAACCTCATCAATACAAGAGAGCAGGCAATACATTACACAGTACACACACACACACGATAAACAATTACATTACACACACCCTGCACCTATAATGGGTACAGGGTGACTAAAACATAAGATAAATAAAGCAGTCTACATAAATAGTCTGTCTGAAGGTAGACTAGGGGCTTTAAAGCCAGATACATGAAAGAGTCATAGTCACAGGTGAGGAGGCTGGCAAGTAGGCCTCTCCAGGACCAAGTGGCGAAGGGCACTTCGTCACATTTCTCCCCTTCGGGGGGAAGACTAACCAGGCACCTGACTTTCTGTCGGTCAGTGCCTAAGTTAGTCGAGTCACCCACCGACCATAAGCAAGTGCCAGAGCAGCCCACCCACAACAAACAGTTATTAGAGCAGCCCACCCACAGCAAACAGTGACTGCACCTGGGTATTCCTCTGGGGTGATGGGGCAACACGCTGTGGGGACTTGAGGGGCAGAGACCAGCGGCGCTCTGCCCTGATGCCTGCACTTCTGCTGGGGAGAGGGGGTTGCAGACCAGTCCTGTAACAAGGGGGTCGGTAGGGCAGAGGCCAGCGGCACTCTGCCCAGCTGCCAGCTCTTCCGCTGGTATAGCCTGCAGGACATCAGGCTCTGGACAAGGGACAAAGGGAGGGCAGAGGCTGACTGCACTCTGCCCAGCTGCCAGAGGCTGACTGCACTCTGCCCAGCTGCCAGCTCTTCCGCTGGTATAGCCTGCAGGACATCAGGCTCTGGACAAGGGACAAAGGGAGGGCAGAGGCCGACTGCACTCTGCCCAGCTGCCAGCTCTTCCGCTGGGGTGCTGGGAACATAGTCCGGCTCAGTAGCCAGGGGAACATGGGAGTCAGTGGGGGCCAAGTTAGGAGTTAGCTGGGGAGGGGAATTCGTACTTACCCCCTCTTCCTGTTGTCCCTGTGAGGGTAGTTGGGGATCTGGACAGGCTGTCCAGCATCCCTGTAGGTCAGGCACAGAGACCACGGTCCCATCTGCGCCATCTGGGAGATTGGTGTCTCCCCTTGGTGGGGTAAGCTGCTGCTGGGGAGATAGGGTGCTGTGCTCCTCTCCCTGAAACACAGGCTGCCGCTGGAGAGGGAGACCGCCTGTCTCCACTCCCATAACAATGTCCTGCTGCTGGAGAGAGAGACCAACTGTCTCTGCTCCCTGTAGGACACACTGCTGCTGTTGCGGGGGAAGGACGACACCTTCGGCCCCCTGGAATTCGCACTGCCGCTGGGGAGGAAGGACAACACCTTCAGCTCCCTGGAACTTGCACTGCCGCTGGGAAGGAAGGACGACACCTTCGGCTCCCTGGAACTTACACTGTCGCTGGAGACTAGGTGTCCATATCCTCAACCTCCACAGTTTTCGCTCAAAGGCCATTGCCGCACTGTTCTCAGCACTCAACTGGCGCATTACTTGGTGGACCACCTCGTTCGAAAGGTCTGGGCCATAGCAGACCAACCGCCTCTTTACCTCCTCAATGTAAGCGTCATCCTCGTAGCGCCGTATCCTGTTGAGGTACTCTTCGCAGGGCTCTATCCATGCCTGCTCCATGCTGCTGTAGTTAGGGACGCTGTACAGTGGCTAGCGTTGCCCTCAATAACCTCTCATACGATACCAGTGTCTCCGAGCTGCTTCTCCTCGCACTAGGACGCCATCCCACCGCTGCCACCAATGTAACGGAGCTCCCTGTACTCCGACCGAGTACCCTCCGTTGACGGATGCTCCTAGCACTGCCTGAGGACTCCAAGCGCTGCAGCAGACACCACAACCACCGCAGACTCCTCAACCGCCGTATCTTGACTGGAGTCTCGCCGTCTTCCTTCCACCCTGGATCAGCTTCTGTCCTCCAGGACTATGTGGGAAAGAACTCTTCCTTCCACCCTGTACGAACCTCCAGCATCCAGGACTGTGTGGTGAAGACCCCTCCTTCAAGGAGAGCGTGTCAGGAACAAGCTCTTAAAAGAGCTAAGTGACTCAAGCTCAGGGGAGCATGCAGAGCATAGCAATCCCCAGTGTGATTATAACAGCTCCCTCCAATAACGAGACAAGGCTACATTTAGAGGGATCAAGAAGAACTGTCAAAACCTTTATTCCCTTGGGACCAGCCAATAGGGTCACCACAATAACATTGTTGTGAAACCTCAATAAAATCACAAACAGTCAAACCAATCAAGCAACACACAGTGACTTATCACAACACAATGGCACATTTTTAAAGGGGTGGGGGGAGACAATATTTAACAGTAAATATCTCACCTGCCTGCAGAATTAGCAATATGCAAATCTACCCGAATATGCAAATGAACCAGTCTTGCAATTCAGGTAGTGCATATTGCTGTTGCTACCAACAGAGGGCACTAGACCAGCTCCATAGCCAAACCCACCTAGTTGGTAGCAAACCTCAGCAATACAAGAGAGCAGGCAATACATTACACAGTACACACACACACTATAAACAATTACATTACACACACCCTGCACCTATAATGGGTACAGGGTGACTAAAACATAAGATAAATAAAGCAGTCTACATAAATAGTCTGTCTGAAGGTAGAATAGGGGCTTTACAGGCAAATACATCAAAGAGTCATAGTCACAGGGGAGGAGGCTGGCAAGCAGGCCTCTCCAGTACCAAGTGGCGAAGGGCACTTCGTCACAGTGCTTCTGTTAGCTAGTGTATGTGTATCTGTCAGTGAATGTGTGTGTGTATTTAGAAGGCTGGGCAGGGGGGAAGGGCTGGATGGGGGTAGCGCGGGGCAGGGGGGAGGGGGCATCTGAGTTTTGTCCTGCCTAGGGCAGCACAAAACCAGGATACACCACTCTATACACTACTCAAAAAAATAAAGGGAACACAAAAATAACATCCTAGATCTGAATGAATTAAATATTCTTCTGAAATATTTTGTTCTTTACATAGTTGAATGTGCTGACAACAAAATCACACAAAAATTTAATTGACATTTTTCAACCCATGGAGGTCTGGATTTGGAGTCAAACTCAAAATTAAAGTGGAAAAACACACTACAGGCTGATCCAACTTTGATGTAATGTCCTTAAAACAAGTCAAAATGAGGCTCAGTAGTGTGTGTGGCCTCCATGTGCCTGTATGACCTCCCTACAACACCTGTGCATACTCCTGATGAGGTGGCGGATGGTCTCCTGAGGGATCTCCTCCCAGACCTGGACTAAAGCATCTGCCAACTCTTGGACAGTCTGTGGTGCAATGTGACGTTGGTGGATGGAGCGAGACATGATGTCCCAGATGTGCTCAATTGTATTCAGGTCTGGGGGACGGGCAGGCCAGTCCATAGCATTCTTCGTCTTGCAGGAACTGCTGACAAACTCCAGCCACATGAGGTCTAGCATTGTCTTGCATTAGGAGGAACCCAGGGCCAACCGCACCAGCATATGGTCTCACAAGGGGTCTGAGGATCTTATCTCGGTACCTAATTGCAGTCAGGCTACCTCTGGCGAGCACATGGTGGGCTGTGCGGTCCCCCAAAGAAATGCCACCCCACACCATTACTGACCCACTGCCAAACCGGTCATGCTGGAGGATATTGCAGACAGCAGAACGTTCTCCATGGCGTCTCCAGACTCTGTACGTCTGTCACATGTGCTCAGTGTGCACCTGCTTTCATCTGTGAAGAGCACAGGGCGCCAGTGGCGAATTTGCCAATCTTGGTGTTCTCTGGCAAATGCCAAACATCCTGCAAGGTGTTGGGCTGTAAGCACAACCCCCACCTGTGGACGTCGGGCCCTCATACCACCCTCATGGAGTCTGTTTCTGACCGTTTGAGCAGACACATGCACATTTGTGGCCTGCTGGAGATCATTTTGCAGGGCTCTAGTAGTGCTCCTCCTGTTCCTTCTAGCACAAAGGAGGAGGTAGCGGTCCTGCTGCTGGGTTGTTTCCCTCCTACAGCCTCCTCTACATCTCCTGATGTACTGGTCTGTCTCCTGGTAGCGCCTCCATGCTCTGGAAACTACGCTGACATACACAGCAAACCTTCTTGTCACAGCTCGCATTGATGTGCCATGCTGGATAAGCTGCACTACCTGAGCCACTTGTGTGGGTTGTAGCTTCCGTCTCATGCTACCACTAGAGTAAAAGCACCGCCAGCATTCAAAAGTGACCAAAACATCAGCCAGGAAGCAAAGGAACTGAGAAGTGGTCTGTGGTCACCACCTGCAGAACCACTCCTTTATTGGGGGTGTCTTGCTAATTGCCTATAATTTCCAACTGTTG